TCAATGCTCGACGATCAAGTGTGGTATTTCTGTGCGTTTGTGTACAGCAGGAGGGTTTCAGTTCAAAACACACGGGGCTACACGATGTTTCTGATTTTTCTTATTTTTGCTTCATTAGTCGACCTTGGTTAGTAAGTGATAATATCTTGCCCAAAACTTCCACCAGCATCGTCAGTTCTTACTGAATAGGGACTTTCACCAACATCTGACTTCGTTCAGTACTACTCAAGACCAGATGACCGGCCAGTAAAGATCAGCAACAGGCAGTGATCTCTGGCAACGAACCAACGAACCGACCAAACACAACCCAGCAGGAACCGATTGTGCAACAAATATGCAGGCGGAAATGGAAGTGGATTTGATTGTGGCCATAATTTGAGAAAACCCACCATCAAGTGAGTGACATCACACACCAGGCCATCACTCGAAAGGAACCTGAATGGGAGGGAAGTGGCGATTTAGTTCGTCGTCAGTGTGATGATGGCATGGAGAAGGAGGTGGTGTTGCGAAGAGGAGATGAGACCATGTGGGCAGACATGAAGCTAGGTGAGAAAACGTTGGCAGTGAACGGAACGCAATGGAGACGTGTGAGTGAAGTCCTTTGTTCCTCTAGGAAAGGAAATACAACTGATAAAACGTAATCTTTAGCTCGCCAGTAGACATATCATCAACTACATATAGGCTGTAATGGGGTTTGTTCACTTGGCAAACCATCCAAAAACCTTGCTAAGCCATAAGAAAGGCTGATAAAGAGGGAAGGTTATGCATGAAGTGAGCAACTTCACCGTTTAGTTAAAATAACACCGCTGATACCAAACTCTAGACCTCTAGCTTCAAGCTTCACGATCTGGCCCACTTAGAACGTCTCATTTAACTCAGTAGACGTCATAAAATAATACATTTTAGGTCAGTCTATACATGCGATCAACGTCCTAATTTAACATATAATAATTTCTACACTGGATCGATGGGTGGACAGAGTTTATCGATAGAGAAAATAGAAATTAGAAGACACTATGACTGCTTTTCTAAGCTATCATCATCAAGAAAGTAATTAAAATATTAAGTGGAGGTGGAGTAGGAGTAGGAGGGAGCGAGAAGGTTTAGGGAGTGGGAGAGTTTCTCCTCCTCCTCAACTTCATCTTCGTCTTCATCTGTCTGCTTGTCTCCTTGTTTGCCTGTTTGTTTATTTCTGTTCAGCAGGGAGTCATTCTATCGAGTAACTCAGTGAACTAGAAACACACACAACACAGAGCAAACAAAGCATGACGTTTCTATTTTTGATGATGATGATGAAGGTGAAAATGTTCTGACACATTCAGTGTTTTGAATTATTTTTACAGCAAAAAACAACAAAAAAGAACTTTAAAATAAAAGTGTTATCACTACTGATATTGTTTGTTATTAGTAATTATAATAATAAGAAGAAGAAGAATAATAAGAATAATTATAACAGTAGTGATGCTAATAAGGGGAATTAGGTCAATCAGAGAGCGAGATAGATAGTGAGAGTGAGAGAGAGGGAATAAAGATCAAGGTCTATGATCGCTTTCAGTCTCTTTTTCTAATATGAGGCAGACTAGAGTTGGATGAATCGATCCATGCATGGATGGATTGATGGATGGCTGGATATATGGAGGAAGAGAGGCAGAATAAGACTAGATAATTACTCAGTCACTATCAATATAATGACCTGAAACACGCAGGAAGTAAGGCCGTATTATGCTTCATTATCACGATGATCAATATTCAACTCACACCGACAATAATCATAAATATAGTAGTAATACTAGTAATAATTGTGAAGTGGACGAAGATGATGATGGTGGTGATGTTAAGATGGAGTGTTGCGATGACATGAAACACTTTCCCTGCATCAATTCAACAAAAGTGCTCACGTTTTCTTCTTTCCTCGTTTATTTCAATCTTCAATTTCAATTTGTTTGTTAATTTTTCATTTAAAACAAAGTCGGTAAGTGAGTAAGTGAGTGAGTGAGTTGTTATTGAGGTAGGTGATCAGAACATACACTGAAAGAGGAAAGAGTGAAGTCATCTTCTGATAACAGATACGTGGACGACACAGTTTGGTTATGTGCGATAATAACGTAGTTCTTGATGATGATGATGTCTTTCTTGCTTTCAACAGCCGTCAACCTTCTTAACAATTCACCATAGAAAAGGAATCTGAACGAAGTATTCCCTTTCTTGACGTAATGATGGATCTCTCAAAAGATCCATTCGATGGAAGTGTACATGGAATGTATTACTAACACAATTTTATAGTTGGTTGTCTATCTCCAGGAAAAGGAACCTAATTCGTCAACTCTTCTTCTGGATGAGACACATTTGTAGTTGTGTTTGCATTGACTCAGAACTTGACTTCCTACAAGCCATGCAGTCGCAGAAGGCGGTCACTCTAACTGATTTATCGACAGAAACACGAAAGATAAGCAGCTCAAACTGGTCACCGACTCAGTCGCAAAGAAAACCATATTCATGAGTGGAATTCGGAATTCAAAGGTGATCAAGCTGCAGATATGCTCAAAAAATGTCCCTCTAAATCAGTCAGTAAGACGTTCTATGCAGCAAAATTACAAGTGACGTTCACCAACTGTGGAGCGACGTACATTGGCCATAGCCAGAGCATGCTTTCCACGCGTATACGACAGCATATTCCATGCTAACGTGCCGGTCGCATTTTCTTCGTAATAAACTTCTAAATACAGTGAAGGCTGTGGGCTTTTCAATCATGAATTTAAACCTCTTTGCGTACAAAATAAGTATGTACAATCCCTACTTCTGCCATGGCCGTAGAGCGATAGACAATTTTCATTTTGTTAATTTAGTTAATCTTTGTTGTGCGTTGGTGGCTCAGTGGTAGAATGCTCGCCAAACACACAGGTGGTTCAAGGTTCAATCACCGGCCGATGCTATGCTTTGCCTCGCTAAGCCAGTAATCAGACTGGTAAAGAAGGAAGGTTGGTCATGATACTAGCAAATTCACCCTTTGAAAAGAAGACTGCTGCTACCGAAAATCCAAAGCTACAGCTTGAAGGCAACCTATATTCCACTAGGAATGTAAAGGAATTAAAAAAGTTAATCTATGTACCTTTCCTCCATTACTACCATTATTATCATTATTATTCTCACTCTGAATTGTTTCCACTTGTGACACATGTTTTTCTAATTTCAGAATTTTTGCGATTCTATCTTATCGAATTTCACACCGTGTTATGTAAAATTTCAATTCAGTCTACTAATCCTATAACTGCACACCCCTTTCCAACAACATCTACACATCCATCTTATGAATTACTCCATATATGACATTAGTTGTTTTGACACTTGACATTTAACTATGATTATAACCACAAATATTTTAATTGCATTTCATGCTACTACTATTATTATTTCATGTATTCACACGTTTGATGCAATTCCTTCACAAGATTCAATTTCTTAAAAACCATGAACATATTCGATTGTACTGCTTGATAATAAATTCGTTGTTGAAAAGAGTCTTTTCGCTGAATATTTTGTGTTCTCAATGCTACAATGGGAATCAATAAATTCTCGAAAGATACTTGATGACATCAGAGATCGATTAAAGTGTTCCAGGAGACATGGGGTTTTGATGAGCATATTGTGGACTACTATAATCTTCATTCTTGAGTGTAATAGTAAAATGAAATGATCTGACTGTTTGTGTGCGGTAGGGGTTCAGGCTAAATCACACTTCCACTTCGATTTTCGACTGACGGAGTCCGAAATTTCGCTTATTATTATTATTGATATTACTAGTATCATACTCTAAGGGTTGGACTGAAATATATACGGCTTCAAAACCACATCTCTATTGTATCTACATTTCTGCAGTCATGTCTAGCTCTGGAGCCATCCATTCCTCACACAATCTCCTCCATATCACGCTCTAACCAACTCACAACTCTTCATTTTTCATTCAGGTATTACTTGAGGGTAAGACAGTTGCATGAATCATTCGATGATCTGTTCAACCTGTGTCCAGTCAGTCTCCATTTTCTTACAAATGTTGAAATGGAGCAATCACATCTTCACTGAATTGTTAAACTCTGGAGTTTCTTATCGGCTATTCCTTACAATCGGACATCTGATCTTCAGTATGGAGTTGACCAGCCAGGCAGGGATAGGAGCAGCTTTTGTGAATAGTTGTTTCCAGCTGGCAGTTGGAAATGCCTTCTGTAACACTCACACATCAAGCATCCAAACCATGTTAGCAGATATAGTGCCAGGCTGGAAAATAGCTAGCGGCGGTCAAACGAAAACATGGCACCAGTCATTGAAATCCAAAACAGTCTAAGCCACATAGAAAGGTGTATACTTCCTGACTGGTTGGTGTCCTCGGGACCGTAAAAACCAATGGTTGGAAACAATTGGTGACATGGCTCAAAATCGTTCTCAGTGGCGCAGATGCATCCACTCCTTGTGACTTATGATTTCCAATTAAACTGTTTTGTTCTTCGTTATTACTATTCCTTTGTCTCACACCTCTGTTTACTGTCTATATTATGCATTTCTCCTACTTTCTTCTCTTCCTTTGTGTGCTACAAGGAAGGAGTGTGGAGACTTGAACTGCCGCACATATGTGCGAAGTTTTATGTCGAAAACCGACCGACCGACTGATATAGTATTTGAATGATGTTGACGTAGTTTCCGAATAACTTTGCCATCAGTGCCGTCTAAGTCGTTTGAAAAGTCGATGAAATTTGAGGTAGAGAGAGATTTGACTGCCATTCTATGCTGTTTTGAGTGCTGATGTTGGTGGTGGTGATGATTCGTAGAGTTACAATTTGGCTTTTCCTGAATCTAGTTTGTTGTAAGTGGAGTTCTGCATTCAGTCTCTCCAGTATGACGTGGCCTAGTATTTTTATTGATATGGAAATAAAGATGTTTCCGTGACAGTACTTGCAGACTACTACTACAACAACGGCAAAAATAAATTAAAGTCGAAGAAGACTCACCAGATTTTTCTCAAAGTTATCTGCTGAAGAGTCTACAAAATTCACTGTATACACAGAACCACACAGAGCAGTTGTTATCGAATAAACCTCAGATGGATTGTCTGTTTCATCAGGATCACCTGTGGTTGAAATGAAAAACAAGAGGGCACACAGATAGAGTAATTTGGATAACACATTTTAAAACACAGAGATCATGAAATGTAGCATCTGTGCAAAAAGTGAAACTTCCGATTTCTGAGTTAGGCAAACAAACTTGTTAAGAAGAACACAGTTGTTGTTCTGTTTGTCCAGCGTAGAGAAATACTATTTCTTTTCAACGACCTTATTTTCTAGCTAACTGCTGTTCAGAAGTCGTATTTATATTTTGGAAAATAGCAGGCATTCATGAGTGACACTAGAAATTCCTCACTGAGCAATATTGCACATATGATGATACGATTAAAGATAATGAAAATGATGTACTAAGGGTGAGGAGTAGGCGCGGTAGAGTTGACTGAAATAGATGAATTACAAAACTTCTAAAGATGACTAATAAATAATTGAACTGGTATAAAGATTCTGTTTAAATTGTAGGTCAGGGGTTGTCTGAAAAATTAACAGTACGGTGAGGACAACAATAAATACGGCGAAGATGAAGTGAAGTGGAATTAATTCAAGTGGTGAAATAGAATAAAATAAAGGAACGTTACTATGATCAATTCAAGGAATAGGGTTGAACAAAACCTTTTTGAATGAATTACTTTGGGTTTTGTCCTTGTGCAGCTAGAGCTTCAACTTTGCATAAGTGGAGGAAACATAAGCTTTTGGAGTGGTTGGATTTGATCGTGTAGATAACTTTGAAGGATTAGTCACGTCCGGGATGAGGGCGGTTGAATGACCCGACTGCAGAAGGTGTTCACAGATCGAAGACTTTGTCGTCCTTTTCTCACCTTTCATTCACCAAACAAGGTAGTGTTCAGATACGCGTTTACGGAGATTACGCTTACAACGTTCATTGTAATCAGCTCCACACGAGCATGTGAATGACTATATGCACATAGAGGTGGACGCACTGTCGAATCATATTTCATCCGGTGAATACTCAGTGTAAGTCAGCTGCATAAAAACACCGTTTGATACATTTGGATAAATGTCTTTTAATTACTTTAGAAATACTGTCACAATTGAAAGCCACACTTAAAAACAGTGTCTTCTTTCTCACCGTGATTTGTTTGGGGGCAGATTTTTTCGTGATGTTTCTGTTGATAAACCTTATAGGGCATCCATTATTGAATAGAGTTGTGCTAATACTTTCTAATTCTATATTGATTGTATTTATTCAGCATAGAGGACGAAAAAGACTCCTCTTCGTGCCTAGAGGTACACAAATGTTGAAGTCAGTGTACTGACCTGTACAGGTTGGCTTTTCGTGGATAAACTTTTTCAACGACTCGTCCTTTTTTCTATCTAACATCACATCTGAGAGGTGAAATACGGAGTTCGACTCTTTTTCCATAGTGAAAAGCGAACTTGTGTTTCACTGAAGCCAGAGTGACAGCCGACAAATGACAGTTTATACAGATCGGAGAGGCAGTTTCCTCCTATCGAAGGCAGCACTATTCAGATGATTGAATTCGTTGTGTTCCCTGAGCTGGACGATGCTTTAATTGCAAAGCTTTCATCATCCCTCAACTGGACAACATCCTTCTTTAAGGGAAGTTTTAGAATAAATTGAACTCATTTAAATTCCCAACGAATGATATGATTGTATGTCTTGCTGACTACTGTACTTGACACATGGACTGGCAGTATCTTTCGGTGGAGACAGATCACAAATACCACTGATTGATTTGGATGAGAAGTTGAATACCGCTCACAGGAATACCAGTAGTGTTTGCTGACTGACTCTGGATGATCGTTGAAGTAGACAGCCAGAAATCGGGTGTGGTTTGAACGAATTTGGCTGTGTGAGCTAAGTACTACACTGGTGTCTACATTCCAACTAGCTGCGTCCGACTAATTTTCACTCATACACATTCAATACTCTGAAAGAGGAGAAATGAGCACACGTTTTACGAACACGACAGTTTGTTACTAAAAACATCGGCAAGAACGTAGAAGAGACTTCCTACGTATCTGTTAAGAAGAAGACTTCCCCTCTCTCTCTATGCATATATAGGCTATTATTATTATTCCTTTAGGTTTCAAATAGGACATAGGGTGTCAATAACAAATCTCAACTTTGCTCTATTTTCTGCTGTCCTCTTCAGCCCTACGGTTGCCTTACATCTCTCAGCTCCTCCTCACACCATGTCTTCCATGTAAATCAAGGACGACTCACTCGTCGCTTCTCATTTCTATTCCACTTGAGCCATGGTCTGCATTAAGTGCGATGTCAGTCGACGGTTTCCTCAATGTATGCCTGATCAATCTCCATTTCCTCCAACATATTTGTTGAGTAGTCTGCTCAGGTTTGGTTCGTTTCAAGCCAGATTTTCTTGTTAATGAACCTTAGTGACTGACAGGACTGCTGCCTGGCCATTTGATCTTCAGTATGGAGCAAAGGCAGCTGTAGATAAAAGTGCGCAACCTGTTAGAAATCCCTTTCGTCAGGCACGCCCAATGCAAGTTTCCGACCAGTATAGAAGGACCCGCTTGACATTTGTGTGGAAAATCCGAATCTTGTTTTTATGCCACTGAATTATTGCAGAAGGTTTCCAAACTGGTTTCAGGTTGATGAAGGCGTATCTTGCTTTTCCTATTCTAGCCAGCTTTGACATCTTCACCCGTGCCATCCGTCTGTAGTTGAAACGATGCTGGCTGCTGAGGCTAGGTAACTGAAGGCAGGAAGATGTTGATTGGTGCTGTTTGTCGTTGTTGTTGATGTTCGTTCGTTGTCTTCCTCACCTTCATCTCCACCTTCTCTAATTTCACCAGCAATCCTGACTAACATTGACCACTATGATTATTACGACAACTGATCACCTCTTCGACTACTCTCATTGATGAAAAACATACTTGTATACAAAGTGTGATTGTACACAGTTGAAGAATACGGAGATGAATTAGTCACCAAAAGTGGCCTCTTCTCACAACTACGTGTGTGCATGTGTCCTATTGACAAGAGTGTCGCCATATCAAAATACCAATTACAAGCAGAATTAACTCAGAATAACATTAGAATGACCATACTACTGAATCCGTAGTCATCAGTAGTAGAATAAGTCAGCCTCTCATTTATTTTTCCAATCGTTATAATCCCTTTCTATAAGGATATTTTCATTGTTTCCCATAGAGGCAATAAAAAACAGCAAAACTAAAATATCCGCCTATTACATACACATGAATGAGTTGCATTCATATTCCATGTATTCATTTCTATGTTAAGGGTAGGGAATACATGTTCATGTACTCTGTCAAACACACGCACACGCACACACACAGACAAGTACAGACACAGACATTTGTATTTACGGATCGATTCACAAACGCTCACTATTACTACTCCTACGAGTACTCCTACTAATACTTAAATAAAAATGACTAGTTTTCAGATATCAATAGTATGTCTGAGTTTTATTATTGTTATCACTTTCATCATCAGTTTTCTTCCCCATCCCCCTTTTTCATTATTCAAATTAACTTTGACTCTTGTATCGTTTGAGTTTCTTTCAACTGGAAAATATTGAACATGTCTCAAACTTGAGTTGGAGAGTAATTTATGGTCATATTTATACACAAGGAATATTTTCAAGGATGATTCGCCTGAATGTGAGAGATAAGCTACCACTGTTGACCGGCCTCATCAATGTGCATCTACCAATTTACCTGCTCCACCTATGATGCTAGGTATTTTCCCCTATGCTATCCAAACACGTATCATCATACACTCAGCCACAGTCATGATTTTATAAGGGAGAAAACAGATCCCTACCACGTCATCTCAGCTGTATTCGGGAATACCTGTTTGAATCTGTACACCAAGCAAACGCACTCAACATGAGGAACTTCAAAGTTATCTACAGAATATATGGGAATCTCGCTTCACTGGGTTTGAACCGAACTTCTTCCAATTCGGTAGAAGAAATGTCATACAACAGAAGAAGTTTGTTCAGTCATGAAAAAGTCCACAGTGGACCTGATCTATCTTAACACCAAATACGTAATTTCTGGTTTCGTCTTTTTCTTGCTTGTTTGTCTCTTAATCGCATAATATTTTCTTCCCCCACACCTTTACCTTTATTGTTGACTTAATTTTTGTTCAGTCTTAATGTTAGTTTAGCTCTACTCAACTGCGTCAGTAATAAGATGACGTTACTCAACTTGCTTATTTAATCTTATTTTAATTTCTAACCAATTCACGAAATCTGTAAATCGAGACAAATTTACTATTCTAATGTGACACATCTTTGAAAATATTCCCTGTTGTTGCTAAGACAGTTTACTATGCACTTTACTATGCGTGCCATTTTACAGCTTGAGAATGATATCATCGGGAAGAGGAGTGTAACTCTTCACTGAATGCTTTTTCTGTTATATGAATCAATGGGAACCAACATGGTTTATCACTTCGACCATCCCATAGCCAACTGGTTCGAAAAACACTTACAGCTTCTATATACGGAATTGATGAAGCACTGCGTTAACGACACCTTTGAATTTCTTGAAAGAATAAAAGATCTGAATGTTGAGAATAAATTCATGATATCATTTGACTTATCTTCCTGATTCACTGTTGTACCAATTATGAAGACAGTAGACTTTGTATGTGAAGAACTTAATAGACAAAACATCAATGTCAGCATTCCCATATCTCTTATAAAAGATCTTCTTTTGAAGTGCACAATGAATGCTCACCAACTGATGATGTTACGATGGGATCACACCACGAGGACCCATTCTAGCCAAGATTTTGCTTGCAAAACTAGAGAATGGACCTTTGAAATATGTTATCGATGAATAAGGATTCTACTGTCGGTACATGCATGACTGATGCATCATTAATTATGAAAAATGAGGATGAAGCAAAGAACACCCACTGGCAAAATTAACGATGTTCATCCTGCAATAAATGTTACCATGGAGAAAGAAAGAGACTATTGTGAGAAACAACCAATCAGAGGACTGTGTTTGTTTGCTT